ATACCATTTGTGCCTGTTCGGCACTTTGAATTCCATTTCACTGTTTAGTCAAATGACTAAAGCAAACCAAATCAACCATTCATCCAGGATCCCACTATTTCCTACAGACAACAACTGGTGCCCAGGTAAAAATACTAGATGCATACCTGACTACAGTTAACATTTACCCACCTAACTCTTCCTCTTTACTCTTACTTCATGTCTACCCACTTACTACCTCCAAACTCATATTTTATATTAGGACTTTACTCTTGAGACTGGGCTACAGCCCAGCATTCTTTACTGACTATTCATTCAGGATAGGGGCAGCATCAGCAGCCTCCAGCATTGACACCCCAGTGCATATCATCAAAATACTTGGGAGGTGGACATTATCAGTCTACAACAGATACATCCCCAGCCTAAGAAAGAACTCAGGAAAGCTTTTTAACGTTTAGCTTTTTAATTGCAGCAATAAAGTGTGTTTTCCTTTGATACCTTTTTGCCCTCTTTTATTTACAAGCCTACCCATTTAAGGGTTTCGGCACACCACAACTGACTTATCACCATCACCAATTGATACATACTACTATCATGTTTGCGACCACAAGTTTTAAGGCCAAAGGCCTGTATTTGTGGGAGGAGTTTGTCCTTTAAAACCTTATCCCCCCTCTTACCTAGGCCATTCTGTTTCAGGTCATCCCACTCACCTCACTCCTTATTAATTCATTTATTCCACACTTCTTGGGGGGCCCTCTTCTTTTTACAGGCCTACTCGTACGTTGGTTTCGGCACACCACAACAACTTATCATCACCACCAATTGATATATACCACTATCATGTTTCTGACCAGTAATATATATATATATATACACACACAGTAGCTCACAAAAGTGAGTACACCCCTCAAATTTTTGTAAATATTTTATTATATCTTTTTTATGTGACAACACTGAAGAAATGACACTCTGCTACAATGTAAAGTAGTAAGTGTACAGCCTGTATAACAGTGTAAATTTGCTGTCCCCTCAAAATAACTCAACACACAGCCATTAATGTCTAAACCGTTGGCAACAAAAGTGAGTACACCCCTAAGTGGAAATGTCCTAATTGGGTCCAAAGTGTCAATATTTTGTGTGGCCACCATTATTTTCCAGCATTGCCTTAACCCTCATGGGCATGGAGTTCACCAGAGCTTTACAGGTTGTCACTGGAGTCCTCTTCCACTCCCCCATGAGGACATCACAGAGCTTAGAGACCTTGCACTCCCCCACCTTGCGTTTGAGGATGCCCCACAGATGCTCAATAGGGTTTAGGTCTGGAGACATGTTTGGCCAGTCCATCACCTTTACCTTCAGCTTTTTTAGCAAGGCAGTGGTCATCTTGGAGGTGTTTGGGGTCGAATACTGCCCTGCGTCCCAGTCTCCAAAGGGATGAGATCATGGTCAGCTTCAGTATGTCACAGTACATGTTGGCATTCATAGTTCCCTCAATGAACTGTAGCTCCCCAGTGCCGGCAGCACTCATGTAGGCGCAGACCATGACACTCCGACCACCATGCTTGACTGTAGGCAAGACACACCTGTCTTTGTACTCCTCACCTGGTTGCCGCCACAAATGCTTGACACCATCTGAACCAAAAAAGTTTATCTTGGTCTAATTGGACCACAGGACATGGTTCCAGTAATCCATGTCCTTAATCTGCTTGTCTTCAGCAAACTGTTTGCAGGCTTTCTTGTGCATCATCTTTAGAAGAGACTTCCTTCTTACACGACAGCCATGCACACCAATTTGATGCAGTATGTGGCGTATGGTCTGAGCACTGACAGGCTGACCACCCACCCCTTCAACCTCTGCAGCAATGCTGGCAGCACTCATACGTCTATTTTACAAAGACAACCTCTGGATATGACGCTGAGCACGTGCACTCAACTTCTTTGGTCGATCATGGCGAGGCCTGTTCTGAGTGGAACCTGTCCTGTGAAACCGCTGTATGGTTTTGCCCACCGTGCTGTAGCTCAGTTTCAGGGTCTTGGCAATCTTCTTATAGCCTAGGCCATTTTTATGTAGAGCAACAATTCTTTTTTTCAGATCCTCAGAGTTCTTTGCCATGAGGTGCCATGGTGAACTTACAGTGACCAGTATGAGAGAGTGTGAGAGCGATAAAATCACATTTAACACACCTGTTCCCCATTCACACCTGAGACCTTGTAACACTAACGAGTCACATGACACCGGGGAGGAAAAATGGCTAATTGGTCTCAATTTGGACTCACTTTTGTTGCCAACGGCTTAGACATTAATGGCTGTGTGTTGAGTTATTTTGAGGGGACAGCAAATTCACACTGTTATACAGGCTGTACACTAACTACTTGACATTGTAGCAGTCTCATTTCAATGTTGTCACATGAAAAGATATAATAAAATATTTACAAAATTGTGAGGGGTGTACTCACTTTTGTGAGATACTGTATTTATTTGTGGTAAGAATTTAATAGACTATCGAATGTGGTAGGTGGTGTAAGTTGGTGGTGTTGTGCCGAAACCAACGAACGAGTAGGCCTGTAATAAAAAAGGGTCCATCAAGGGTAGTGTAATATTAAGATGTATGAGGGTGTGGTGGGTGGGGTCAAACAGCGGGAACAGCATAGGTGAGTAGGAGCTTTGCATTTAAGTAGGCAAATAACTCCTCACACAAATTCAGGTCTAATGGCCTTCCTACTTGTCGAAATTTAATAGACTATGGAATGTGGTAGGTGGTGTAAGTTGGTGGTGTTGTGCCGAAACCAATGAACGAGTAGGCCTGTAATAAAAGAGGGCAAAAATAATGATGAAGAAACACACTTTATTGCATTCTTAAATGCTTTCCTTAGCTCTTGCTCAGTTTGTGGGATGTAAGTATTATACACTTCCATCTACCCAATTTTTTGATGATGTGGACTGCTGTGTCTGAACTGGACTCTGTTTGTTGGGTCTCTGGTTTTAAGCACAACTGAAATATCGCCGTAGCTGTAAGCTCTGTTTTCAAGGATGTCCTGCGAGGCGATAAAGAGGGAAACCAAGTTGATCAGTTGGCTAAGTTTAACCGTAACTAACACGTGATCTAGTTAAGTGACCTATGAAATCTGGTAGAGTATCGAGATACTAAACCGTGATATTGAGCTCGTGAAAAAAGAGCATGTATACCAAATATTTTTGTATCGATGTGTGGGTTTGACAGCAGTAACTGTTTTAGTCAGTGAGTGAAAGAAATCGAGAGCGTTATAGATTTGTAGGAAACTCATGAAATTTAACAGATGAAAAGTATGTGTGTAAGTAACATGAGTGAAATAGTTATAGCAGAATACACGAAATTACAAGGGAAAGTGAGTTTGGCTATGCGAATGGAGCAGGCAATTAAGTGTAGGTTACCGAACCCCTTAAGTGACAGAAAATTTGTACGAAATTCATGCAAATTAAATTAAGGATAAGAATTACATGTGCAAATAGATTTTAACTAAGTTGCTGTGCCACATAAATGAATCGACAAACGAACCCAGTAGTTACATGAAAATATGCGAAAGACGTACGAAAGGAATACTAGCGAGTAAACTAAATACATGCGAATTGAACTGACCATGCGTATGCACGAATAGATACAAGCTAATTCATGGAAACTGTATGGATATACTGAAACAGCCAAATGACAGATTACAAGTACCATATGAAAATGTACACAAAATTAATGCAAAATCAAAGAAACGAAATGTAACAGAATGCAGCCAAACCCTGCGTTTTTAGGCCCTAACATGGGAATAACCGAATGGTTATTCTGGACGTGTACATACATAGGTGTGCCCTGTCTCGTGTCTGGAAGACGGGAAGTGCCAGCAGGGGAGCCAGAGGTGAATTGGAGCCGGAGGTCGGAGGCTGCGGTGGGATGCAGAGGCGGATGTGCTGGTTTCTACGGTAACCGGATCAAACAGAGGGAGCGGCATAGGTGAATAGTTGCATTTAAGCAGGCAAATTACTCCTCCCACAAATGCAGGCCTAATGGCCTTCTTAAATATATATATATATATATATATATATATATATATATATATATATATAGGTATATATATGTATATATATAAGAAGAAGATTCTTGGCACTCACCCTTAATTTTTCAAAAAAATGGTACATTACTGCCTGGGTGCAATCCTCAGCGTTTAGATATAACAAAAAGCACTCACAGGTCTTCATCTGAATACTGATTTATTCTAAGGTGCAAATTACATGTGCAATCGACATTTCGACCCTCACAGGGTCTTCTTCAAGATCTATATACAAAATTGCCATTTTTCCTTTGTATTGCCTATACCATACAATCCTCACGTTGCAGCCATAGACACAAATAAATAAATACATATAGACACTCTCATACATGCACACACACACACACAAACAAACACACTGATGCACAGAGACACACACATTGACAAATCTAAACATACTGTCACAACGTGTAACTGGCTGTGTGTATTTCTGAGTGTGGCATTGTCGACATGTGTATGTGCCTGAAAGTGTGTGTCTGACAGAGAGTATCTTTAAGTGTGACTGTATGTTTTTGTGAGCATGTGTCTGGGACCGCATGTTTGTGGGGTAGCTGCTTGCGGTGTGTTGTGTGTATAGGGGCTGCCTGTCGCCTGTGTGCGCATTGTGTTATGGCAAAGCTATGTTTCATGATTGTGTGTGTATGATGAATGTCTTCAGCTGGTCAGGGCCGTCTTTAACGCGGGGCAAACGGGGCAGCTGCCCCGGGCCCTGTCCCTGCTGGGGGGCCCGAGGTAACTACCCTGTTTGCCCTCTGCCTGCAAACTATGGGGGCCCATCGGGTGGCCCATGCACTTAGGGCCTGTGTCAGCAGGGGCCCGGTTGGGCGCTGTGGCACTTTAACAGCGCGACCGGGCCCTTGCTTTTCGGCAGCACTGGGAGGAAGTGACAGCCGTGCGTCACTTCCTCCCACAGAAACAGGAGCCGCGTGGGAGGAAGGCGGACTAGCTGTTCCAGAGGGGGCCAGGCCGGGAGCTTAACTCCCAGCCACCCCAGCCAGCCCACTGGACCCCAGGGAAGCCACCCTCCAGGAAAAGGTAAGAAACTGGAGGGTGGTTATCAAATTTTGCATGAGTGCAAATCTGTCAGTGTATCTGTATGTCTGTGTGTGTGAGAGTCTGTCAGTGTCTGTGTGGTTCAGTATGTCTGTATGTGTGTATGTCTGTCAGTGTGTCAGTATGTCTGTGTGTGAGTCTGTCAGTGTCTGTGTGGTTCAGTGTGTATGTGTGTTTCAATATGGCTGTCTGTGTATGTCAAAATGTCTGGATGTGTGTTTGTCTGTGTGTATGTGTGTTTCAGCATGTCTGTCTGTCTGTCTGTCTGTGTGCCAGAATGTCTGTCTGTGTGCCAGTATGTCTGTCAGTGTGTCAGTATGTCTGTGTCTGTGAGTCTGTCAGTGTCTGTGTGTTTCAGTATGGCTGTCTGTGAGTTTCAAAATGTCTGTATGTGTGTATAACTGTCAGTGTCTGTGTCTATGTGTGTTTCAGTCTGTCTGTGTGTGTGTGCCAGAATGTGTGTATGTCTGTCAGTATGTCTATGTGTGAGTCTGTCAGTGTGGTTCTGTATGTCTGTGTTTGTCAATATGTCTGTCAATGTCTGTGTGTATGTGTGTTTCTGTATGTCCGTCTGTCTGTGTGTATATGTGCCAGTATGTCTGTCAGTGTATCTGTATGTCTGTGTGTGTGAGAGTCCATCAGTGTCTGTGTGGTTCAGTATGTGTTTGTGTATGTGTGTTTCAGTATGGTTTTCTGTGTGTGAGTCTGTGTCAGTACGTCTGTCAGAATGTGTCTCTGTATCTGTATGTTGTCCATTTGTATTTGTGTGTGTATCTGTATGTGTCAGTGTTTGTATCTGTATATCTGCATGTGTGTCAGGTTGTGTATCTGTGTGTCTGTCTGTCAGTGTGTGTGTCGGTGTATCTATAAGTAGTCAGTGTGTGTACCTTTGTATCTGCATGTATGTCAGTGTTTGTATCTGTGTGTGTGTCTATGTGTGTGTCAGTGTATCTATATGTAGTCTGTGTGTATCTGTATGTTCTTGTGTGTATCTATATGTGGTCAGTGTGTATCTGCATGTGTGTCAGGTAGTGTATTTGTGTGTATCTAGACGTAGTCAGGGGGCCCAAGTAAATGCTCGCCCAGAGTCCAATCTAAATTAAAGACGGCCCTGCAGCTGGTAACTGTGATAGGGTGAGTAAAGGGGTAACTAAATATGGCAGGGTGTGAAAGGGTGTGGGGAGTGAATAAGACAGGGTTGGGGTAAATGTGTGACAAAATTAGGGTGGGTGAGAATGATAGGGGGCAGTGGCGTACACGCAAACCATGGGACCCCGGTGTGAAAATGATCCGTGGCCCCCCCTCTCTATTCCCCCCTGACTGACACACACACACACACATACATAGAGAGACACACACACACACACATAGACACATACACTCAGACACATACATACAGACAGGCACACATATATACATACAGACAGACACACACAGACACATACATACAGACCAACACACAGACAGGCACACAGACACATACATACAAACAGACAGGCACACATACAGACACACACACACACATACAGACAGACAGGCACACATACACACACACACACACACACACATACAGACAGACAGGCACATATACAGACACACACACACACACACACACACAGGACAAACATTCAAACAAAGACACATAGATAAAAAAACAAACAGGCATACATACAGACAGGCACACATACAGTCAGGTCCATAAATATTGGGACATCAACACAATTCTAATCTTTTTGGCTCTATACACCAACACAATGGGTTTGAAATGAAACAAACAAGATGTGCTTTAACTGCAGACTTTCAGCTTTAATTTACATCCAAATCAGGTGAACGGTGTAGGAATTACAACAGTTTGTATATGTGCCTCCCACTTTTTAAGGGACCAAAAGTAATGAGACAGATTAACAGTCATATATCAAACTTTCACTTTTTAATACTTGGTTGCAAATCCTTTGCAGTCAATTACAGCCTGAAGTCTGGAACGCATAGACATCACCAGACACTTTCATCCCTGGTGATGCTCTGCCAGGCCTCTACTGCAACTGTCTTCAGTTCCTGTTTGTTCTTGGGGCATTTTCCCTTCAGTTTTGTCTTCATCAAGTGAAATGCATGCTCAATCGGATTCAGGTCAGGTGATTGACTTGGCCATTGCATAACATTCCACTTCTTTCCCTTAAAAAACTCTTTGGTTGCTTTTGCAGTATGCTTCGGGTCATTGTCCATCTGCACTGTGAAGCGCTGTCCAATGAGTTCTGAAGCATTTGGCTGAAAATGAGCAGGTACTATTGTCCGAAACATTTCAGAATTCATCCTGCTGCTTTTGTCAGCAATCACATCATCAATAAATACAAGAGAACCAGTTCCATTGGCAGCCATACATTCCCACGCCATGACACTACCACCACCATGCTTCACTGATGAGGTGGTATGCTTTGGATCATGAGCAGTTCCTTTCCTTCTCCATACTCTTCTCTTCCCATCACTCTGGTACAAGTTGATCTTGGTCTCATCTGTCCATAGGATGTTGTTCCAGAACTGTGAAGGCTTTTTTAGATGTTGTTTGGCAAACTCTAATCTGGCCTTCCTGTTTTTGAGGCTCACCAATGGTTTACATCTTGTGGTGAACCCTCTGTATTTACTCTGGTGAAGTCTTCTCTTGATTGTTGACTTTGACACACATACACCTACCTCCTGGAGAGTGTTCTTGATCTGGCCAACTGTTGTGAAGGGTGTTTTCTTCACCAGGGAAAGAATTCTTCGGTCATCCACCACAGTTGTTTTCCGTTGTCTTCCGAGTCTTTTGGTGTTGCTGAGCTCACCGGTGCATTCTTTCTTCTTTAAGGATGTTCCAAACAGTTGATTTGGCCACACCTAATGATTTTGCTATCTCTATGATGGGTTTGATTTGTTTTTTTAGCCTAATGATGGCTTGCTTCACTGATAGTTGTCACGATTCTGGAACCTAACACGCTAACAGAACACAGAGAGGAAAGATGCTATACCAGTCCTTAGAGTGGCTGGGCTAAGCACACTAAGAATGGTCAGGAGACAAGCCAAGTAAAGGGAGCCAGAAAACGGGAGAACGAGAAACAAGCCAAGGTCAAAGGAGTGGAGAAGACAGGATAATCGGAATAACGAACCAAACAATCGGTAACCAGAGAGAAACACGAGCAAACTGAGAGACAGGAAAGGTAAGTATAAATACCCTTTGCTCAATTCTGATTGGATAACTTCCAATCAGAATTAACAATCACACGTAGGATATATCTACGCCTCCCACTGTGATTGTGGTACTGTTGCTTTAACGCCGGGTCAATCACGTGACCCTGGCATTTGCTTAAATTTGCGACCTCCCAGCGTGCAGCGTTATACATGCTGCCGCTGGGAGGCGTGGAGGACGCGAACGGCGAGTGGCGGAGAGGAGACGCCGCTCGCCGACAGGTAGGAGGAGGGGAGACCGCGGACACCTGACATAACCCCACCCTCGAGGACCGCCCAATGGGCGGGAAGCCAAAGGCTTCAAAGGAAACCGCGGATGAAAGGAGCGGATCAAAGAGGGCGCATTCAAGTCAGAGGCAGAAGCCCAAGACCGCTCCTCAGGGCCGTAACCCTTCCAATCAACCAGATACTGCAACCGACCCCGAGAAAAACGAGAATCAAGCAGAGCAGCCACTTCGTACATGTCACTAGAGACAGCGCGGAGGGAATCCGGAAGCTTGAGAGGACCAGAGAATCGATTACAGAGCAGGAGCTTCAAAAGGGAGGTGTGAAAAGTGTTAGGTATACGCATGGAAGGAGGCAAGGCCAGGGAGTAGGACACAGGATTGACCCTACGCAATACCTTATAGGGGCCAAGGAACCTGGGTGCGAATTTCATTGAGGGGACCCTGAGGCGGAGATTCTTAGAGGACAACCTATCACCCGGGACATAAGAGGGAGCAGCACCCCTACGACGATCAGCAAATCTCTTCTGAGTAGCAGTCGCACGAGAAAGAGTAGCATGGACCTGATCCCACATCTTCCGTAAGGAGGTGAGGTGCTCGTCCAAAGCGGGTATTCCCTTGTCGGAGAACACGCCGGGAAGGACAGAGGGTTGGAACCCATAAGCAACCATAAAAGGACTTAAACCAGTGGACGAATGAGTCACGGTGTTCCTGGCAAATTTAGCCCAGGGAAGGAGGTGAGACCAGTTGTCCTGGTGCGCATTCGTGAAGCAGCGTAAATATAACTCTACAGATTGATTTGCTCGTTCGGTGGCTCCATTAGATTGTGGATGATAGGAGGACGTAAATGACAATGAGATCCCCATCTCAGCACAAAAGCCCCTCCAAAACCGAGAGACAAATTGAGGACCCCTGTCAGATACGATATCCTGTGGTATACCATGCAAGCGGAACACCTCTTTGGCAAATACTTGAGCCAACTGAACCGAAGAAGGTAGTTTCTTAAGTGGAATAAAGTGTGCCATTTTAGAGAACCTATCGGTCACAGCCAAAATTACTGTCTGTCCACCAGATGAAGGAAGATCTACAATGAAGTCCAAGGATAAATGGGTCCATGGTTTCTTGGGCATGGATAGAAGCATTAGGAGTCCCAGGGGTTTAACATTAGGGGACTTACACTGTGCGCAAACACGACAAGCCTGCACATATTCCACTACGTCTTGCTTAAGTGAGGGCCACCAAAACTGTTGAAGGAGACCCTTGTATGTTTTGGTAACCCCTGGGTGACCAGCTGTTTTGGATGCGTGAAATAAAGCTAACAATTTCTTTCTATCTTTTTCTCTCACGTATAATCTACCAACAGGTGTCTCAGATGGTGCTTGGGTTTGGTATGTCTTGATACCATCAAGGAAAAGAGACGAAATAACCAAACGGGTAGCAGCTATTATCTTAGATGTAGGTACAATGGGTTCAGGAGCGGGGTCAATTGACTCCAAAGGTTTGTATTGTCTGGAGATAGCATCAGCCTTGACATTACGGTACCCAGGCCTATATGTGATAATGAACTGAAAGCATGAAAGAAATAAGGACCATCTGGCTTGACGAGATGACAACCTTATAGCATCTGCTATATAGGAGAGATTCTTATGATCAGTTATAACCAGGATTTTGTGTCTAGCTCCTTCTAATAAGTACCTCCGTTCTTTAAAAGCCATCACAATAGCTAATAGTTCCCTGTTCCCGACGTCGTAATTATTTTCCGAATCAGACAGCTTTTTAGAAAAGTAACAACAAGGATGGAGGGGTTCGTTATACGATAGTCTTTGTGATAATACAGCTCCTACACCTGATTCTGAAGCGTCTACTTCCATAACAAAGGGAAGGGAAGGATCAGGATGGTGTAGCACAGGGGCAGTGGCAAATGCCTTTTTGAGAGTCTCGAAGGCTTTAACGGCTTCAGGAGTCCAAACCCTGGGGTGCAAACCCTTTTTAGTCAGTTTCGTGATAGGAGAAATGACTGATGAAGAGTTTTTAATAAACCTGCGATAATAATTGGCAAAGCCTATAAATCGCTGTATTGCCTTAAGGCCTTGAGGATGAGGCCAAGACAATATGGCTTCTAATTTTGAAGGATCAATGCTGAATCCCTGTTCAGAAATGATGTACCCTAGGAATTGTACTGATTTTTGGTCAAATAAACATTTCTCCAATTTACAATAAAGACCGTTCTGCAGCAATCTCTTAAGTACCATCCTCACATGGGCATGATGTGACTCCAAATCAGGAGAATATACAAGTATATCATAGAGATAAACCAAGGCACAGACCTGCAGTAAATCTCTAAGGACATCATTTATGAGGTCCTGAAAGACAGCAGGAGCATTACACAGTCCAAAAGGCATGACTAGATACTCGTAATGCCCACTGCATGTATTGAACGCTGTCTTCCATTCATCATTCTCTTTTACACTAACCAAGTTATAAGCCCCCCTGAGGTTTATAAGCCCCCTAGTTTAGTATAATATAACCTTTAACACGATCAAACAACTCCGTAATGAGAGGGATAGGATAAGCGTTTTTAACTGTTATATTATTCAGGCCCCTGTAGTCTATACATGGCCTCAAATCGCCCTCTTTCTTGGCAACAAAAAAGAAACCAGCACCAGCCGGAGAGGAGGACCTTCTGATAAAACCTTTATGTAAGGATTCCTGACCTGGTTTTCTCTCTCAGAAAGCGGGTAGACCTTACCCCTAGGAGGCATAGTACCAGGTAACAGGTTTATGGCACAATCATAATCCCGGTTTATCAGCTTCCCTTTTTTCAAAGACCAATGCGAGGTCTGCATACACAGGAGGGACAGAAACAGAAAGTGGTTTAGCTGTAGGCACATTAAGTAAGCAAACGGGACGTAAACGGGCCATACAGTCTTGTTGACAAGATTCCCCCCAGGAGAGTATATCTAGACAACCCCAATTAAGTACCGGGTTATGCTTAACTAACCAGGGAAAGCCCAGTACGATGGAAGATGTAGGGGAGTCAATTATTTGGAAGGTTAACCTTTCCTTGTATAAGGCACCCATGACCATAAGCATTTCTTGGGTTTCATGGGTCACCAGAGGTTTATCAAGTGGTCTACCATCTATGGCCTCAATGGCCAAGGGTGTGGCCTTTTGGACCAGATTCAAGGCTGCAGTTTTTGCAAAGTTCTCATCCATAAAGTTGTCTGCAGCACCTGAATCGATCAAGGCTTTAGTTGTTATAGTGGTTTGATTGACCAAAAGAGTAACCGTAATAAATAGTCTGGAGATGGACACGAGGGGAAAAAACCATAACACCCGAGGCCGACCCCTCTCTAGGCCTTAGGTGCTGAAGTTTCCCTGCAAACTTAGGACAGTTTCTTCGGAGATGCCCCCTCTTTCCACAATAAAGGCACAAGCCCTCCCTTCTGCGGTACGTTCGTTAAGCTTCAGTTAAGCCTACAGCACCTAATTGCATGGGTTCGGAAGGTGGTTGATTAGGGGGAGGTAATGCTAGTAACGCAGTACTGGGTAAAGCAGGTAACCCCTGTGTATTCATCCTTCTTTGACTACGCCTCTCTCTAATACGGTTGTCAATAAGAATGATATAATCTATTACATCATCCAGAAGAACAGGCAATTCCCTGGATGCTATTTCGTCTAATATGTAAGCGGCCAAACCCTCCTGAAAGGCTGTTACGAGGGAGTCGTTATTCCAAACCACTTCAGCTGCCAGAGTGCGGAATTCAATGGTATAATCCGCTACAGATCTATTACCCTGTCGGACCCTAAGCAGAGCTTTGCCAGCAGAAGCAACCCTGCCGGGTTGATCAAATGTACGTTTAAAAGCTGTCAAAAAGTCTGCAAAGGACATTGGGGACGTATTCTCCCACATGGGATTAGCCCATGCTAGAGCTTTCCCGGACAAGTAGTTGATCAGAAAAGCAATTTTGGTTCTGTCAGTGGGGTAGGAACTGACAAGGACTGTGCTTCTTGTGTTTAATTCATATATGGCCAGACAGATAGTTACAAGGCTGTGCTTATGTAAAATTATTTTTTGGGGGTATGGCACTATTCAAATAGTAGTAAACCATATAAATTATAGGTTTA